TCTGGAGGCAAGGGACAAAGTTCCTTTTCTGCCCGGGCAGCACACTTACGGAGGGGCGCTCGAGCGAGAGCACCACCCGCAGATGGATGCGGGAGCCGATGGAGGGGTGGTCTAGATGCGTTTCCGAAACAGGGGGGATCTTTCTGGGAAAAGTGAGCTAGCCATTATATGGAAGGGGGCCTTGCGCCCAACCCTGCAGGGGGGGTTTGCTCGCAGAGCCTGCCTTAAGGAAATGCGCCGACCCGATGGCGGGCTGGAGGGGGGGCGAGGGGGGGCGAGTGCAGGGAGGGAAATGGTGGGGGGCACCTATACCACTGAATGTTGACTCAGCGGGGCACCTAGGGTGATTTGCGATATGCGCACGTATCAAGCGGGATTGGGCATTGTCACATCGCCCTATATGCTAGGCAACTATACGCGACCTGGCACATGGGGTTTTGATTGCAGTCAGTGATGGAGACTCAATATGGGTTGAAAAGGGTTATTATGACATTTTGCAAACACAAATCAATTGCATATTCAGTTTGCAATTAAACGATACAAAATTTATATTTTTTTGATAAGTTTTGGAAAATCTAGGGTTCTGAAAAGAACAAAATATGTAGATCCTAAAAAACAACCTTTGTTTTCGACAGGTTTTTGAGGAGTTTTAGGGTGGTTGTGCTAGGTGCTATTGGAAAAAGGAATGGTTAAAGTATTTTAGGAATAGTGGAGACTGCTATCAATTGTAGCCTTAATAATAGGGTAGTTGAGATTTAATATGATGAGATTTGGGGGGATCTATGCATGCCCTGCGTGTTCTATTATGAATCGTGACCAGGGCGAGCAGACCACCCCCTGCACCATGTGATGCACCACGATTCCAAGTATGGGGGATGGGGCAGACGGGTGGATGGCCACCATCCTAGAGTGGCGGAAGTGTCGTGGTTTTCTAGGTTATCAGGAAGTCCAAGACTTTTCTGAAGAGCTTGAGCTTTTTTAGTACCAAAGGCCTGCACAATCTGGTGTGCAAACTGTTGTGTGGTCGACAGATAGAAGCATCAGTTTCGACAAGCCTTGGAAGAGGGCAAACGATATACAAACTGCCCTTCTTGAGGAATGGGAAGAGGTGCTGCGATGGGATGGAGTATTACATGACTTGACAAAGAGTGTAGTTGTGATCTTCACCCAAAACGTTGAGATGGATAACCTTCCCCCTCTTATGAAGTAAGAGATTTTGTATGGGCTTGAAGCAATGGTGTACTGAAGACTTTAACTAGCATGGCGAGTGGCCTCGAGGGAGGTGGCGCAGATGAATCTCAAAAAGGAAGAGAACAAACCAGTTCTGTGGAGAGCATATGAGATTGTTAACGACCGGTTGAAGGTCGCTGAGAATCGAGTTTTGAAGGAACTTTTTCATCATGGAACACAGACAATTGATGATATTTGTGAGAATGACGAAGAAGTCCAAGCTCGAAGAGGTGAAAAAGCTCAGTTGTAGTCCATGCATTATAGACCGATCCCTATGTGTAAGGGTAAAACGGTAAATTTGGGTGCAAAGAATATGGGCACATTGCCCCGTGTTGCTTAAACACGCTCAGCACAAGAGGGAGTGATTTTTGGGGCCCAATCTGGGCAGATTCAAGGGAATAGTGGCCAGCAGACCTTGGGGGCCATTGGGTCAGTGAACACGAAAACAATGGACAAACGAATTTGAATTTGAACCTGATGGGTATACCAGAAATAGAATGACTCATCCTATTTCTGGCATGACCCTTGGGATGCCTTGGGAAGGCGGGTATAAATACAGACACACCAAACAGTTTGTAATTGAAGTTGCACTGCAAGTTGCGACCACAACGGTCCCCGAATCGAATGGGGTTCAACGGGCCATTTCCCAACCGACCAAAAGGGGACATCGCCCCTTGCACTATGACTTCTTTGATACCATGTATTGATAAAGAGCTCAACGAATTCTGTGAGCGACAAAGGGAAGTTGACTAGTTGCTTGTTAAGGGTGCGGTGAGGGTCAAGATGATGAACTGGTTGGCCAAGAAAGGACCAAAACCATCGATTGAGCCTGAGGAAAACGTGCCATGCGCCAAACGCCATCCATGAAGATGGCTGAGCATGGGCAATATAGCGTGGTGAGCCTATGATGGCATGCTAATCGGAATGAGCTGAACTGACAAGGATAGGGGTTGTGCGGGTCACAAAAATTGCTGGCATAAGTAGTACATGTACAAGATCAAAGATACTACGCAAGATCTGATCGGATCGGATTTGATTAGATATGCATGATTTGATGACAGTGAACAATTGAACAACCGTAGGATGCATGGCTGGGACAGCTCGGCTGCTATTGTCAAAGCATGATGTGATTTTTAGTTCTTGATAGGCATAACAAGAGGGATTACCAGAGGGGTAGTAGGGAATCTTTTGAAGCATATTCTATGGAACGTGTAGCTCAGAACAAACATACTAATGTATATAAACTGGCTGGTCGGCGATGTTGTTGACCTCCAATCTGTAACCTACATTTGGTTACAGCCATTGCAGCCAACCAGGCCTCCTCACCGGCTGAGGACAGGACCTGCAAGGCCAAGTGAGCGTCCTTTTTGAGGGAGGGGCTCAGGCCCAGTGCTATTGGTGTGAGACGATCAGTCTGTGCGTTTTTGGCCATTTCGACGCTTGGAATCACCCCAATTTGACTGAATTCAAGTCGATTTTTTACTGCAACTCTCCGGAGGGGTCTGGCCATGGCGTGGCCATGACATGTGTATTACCGTATCTTAGGCAGGGCGTCCCCCACACCAAGAGACCATTAGTAGGGCGTCCCCCACATCAGACCTATGTGCGTAATACAGAAATTGACGAACAATGGGTGTACACACATTTGGCTCAGATGGGGGCAATGTGCAACCAAGCAATAGCAAGAAATTTAGAACCACCCTATCCAAGGACCATTGTAGCAGTTGGGGGTAGGGTATGGGTCTCCCAATGGATTAATCAATGAACTGGCGGGGTCCTGCAATCATTACATAGATAGGGGAATTGAGTAGATGCAAAGTGAAGTATGATGTTGCACCACCCCATGAAGCACCCGAGGGGGGTGCCACCGTGGGGCACGCACCTAGGACTGCACAAGTCCTGAGCATAGGCGGCTTGGCAAAAATTAAAAATTGAATTACAATCAATAAAATAAACAATGCATACAAGTTAAACCACTATTATTATGGTGCATTTGGAATGTTAACTTTGCATTGAAATACCAAATCTAAATCCACATTGTAATGTTCGTATCATACAAAGTCGACGGTTTGCAGGAAATGGTAAACATTGGGAAATTAAAGGAGTACTTTGAGAAATAGAGCATTGGGAAGAGAGAAAGAAAAAAAGAAAAAAGGGTTTATGTGGATGTTTTGAGATAGTGCATGACTTAATTTGGTGCACGCTTGTCTTTGAGACTTGATTGAGTTGTGTGTCTTGATGTTCATGAGATGCATCATTTTTGGCAGCATGGACTAAGATCTGAATTGTTTATTTGGATTTTCTGCCATATGCAAACTCGTCACAGGGACATTTGACGAGTTTGGAGGGGGACACTGTTGGGTGCATATTTGATTTGATGTAGTCGAGGCACTCTTTTTGTCTCAGGCTGGTGACGTTGATATGATTGAATCTATTGAGTTTGGTACGTTGGCCTTGATGTTTGACGTGGCTGGAATCTCGTTCTTGAGTGCTTGACAACATCCGTAAATCTTGAGGGTATTAGAAAAGGCGGACAGATCTTGTATTTGAATGGCTGGTCGTGTGAACGGCGGGACTCAGAGCGTGTTGCTTGGGGTGGGTTTTGACGGACTTGCCATGCGTGTCTCCGGACGGCTCCAAATCAACAGCATAACGTCGCGCCCGTTACACAGAGTCCGGCGTCGCGTCGGACATGCGTCAGCCTGTTCCCTTCCATTTTTAGTCACCATGTTCAGGTGCTGCAGGATCGCTGCGATACGACAGGCTTGTTGTGCCAACCTCCCCAGAGTGAAGCGTTCCAAGGCCGGCTGTCTGTGCCTTGTGCGCCTAGCGTGACAAACTTCGGACCCCAGGGGCGAAAGGAAGTAGAGAAGGTAAGGGGGAAGAAATTGAGCACGCAGCACACGTCCTGACCTGCGCCCTGGATACGTTGTGTGAGAGTTCTTTGAGACTGTCGACGCCGTTTGCCAGCCGTAAGCTGTGTTGGGCGCGGAGCGCGCTGTGCTGAGATTGGTGGGGTTGACGGCAGCGACGGCGAATCACCTGGCAGCCCGTTGCGGGTGCGTCGCGAAGGGTGGGCTCGTTTGCAGCCGTTAGCAACGGATGGGTGCGTGTTGGATGCGACGGACTGCAGCGGCTTCCGCTGATCGTCCAGTGCTGACGTGACTGGTTGGACCTGGTTGCTGAGATCGCTGTCACCGAGGGTAACGCTGCTGCATTTCCGCAAAGGCGCAAGGTAATGGCCCTCCCCTTGCCTTCGCGGCCCACTTCGGCGGATTTATCGTATTCATTCCGGCCCTTGGGCACGCGCCACTGCTTATTGATATAGGTGTTGACCATTTTTTGGAGTCAACTTGGTTGCAGGTTGCAGCTGGACGAAGAAAACTGTCCTAGCCTCTGGCTGGCAAAGCACGTCGACGTGTTGGCCCTATTCAAACGACCTTCTCGGGCATCTATAAAAAGTTCGATTCAAACGGCACTTTATTGTAACAGAACTATGTTGCAGCACTGAAAGGCTGGTTTTTGCCCAAGTGGAAGTTCACCCTCATACCTTTGCTGCCATTCCCAAACCCAGGCGCATACCCTTCGTTTGCGAAGTGAGCAGCATCTTCCCAGCGCACGGGGCACTTCCTGTTTCCTCACACTGCTCTGATTCAGTTTTGTGCACAAACAGATTGAAGCAATAGGATTGAAGCTGCACGGACGACGCGCTGTGGTGACGCCCTCCGATTCCTGGCCCAAGAGTTGAGGACTGAGCTGGCACAGCTGCGATGAATCCACGTGACACAACCTCTGGCGAACCTTGTGTTGGTGACGCCAATCAGCAGTCTGGTTCGAAACGCTCACGTGGTGCAATTGACGGCAGCCAGGTCATTGAAGGGGCATCCAAGGCTCCCAGAGTGACTACCAGCAATGGGGACACGATGCTCACGTTTGGGAGATACAATGGTAAGACATACAACTGGGTCATTGAAAATGCGCCCACTTATGCAGATTGGGCGCAGCGAAGCGTGGATGCAGGTGAGGCAGGTGGAGCCTTGATGGATTTTGCTGATTGGTCCTGTGGGAAGGGCAAGCTGCAGTTTGGAAAGCACAGGAACAAAACGCCCCAATGGGTGTGGGAGCACGACAGGGGGTACGCCAAGTGGGCAGTTTCAGAATGGGATCAGCATAGGGCAACAGGATCATCTGGACTGGCACGCTTCGCAAGGTTTGCAAAGAGGAAGATGGAAGAGGAAGGGAATGGGTGGGAGGAAGAAAGAGGGCAGGTTGAGCTTTGTGAAGGGGATGAGGCCCCATACATCAACGAGTGGGGTTATGAGCCCTTCGAATGCTTTGTCGAGCGGTACATACACTCACACCAGCAGAGGGGGGAAGCAGGGTACTGTTGGAATTGGCTGGACGACGGGCAGTGCTTTAATGGAATGGTTTGCCGGTTCAAACATCAGTATCCCCCATCGTGGAATGCTGCAAAGCGTGAGCAGCATCGTCAGAAAGTAAAGGAAGTTGAGGAGATGGAAAGCCACATGGCCGCCCTGTGCGAAGCTGAAGAGTGCTGTGAAGAAGAAGGCTGGGGAGAACCGGAGACAGAGGGGAGTGTCTCAGACAGCGAATGTGAAAATGAGGAACATGAAGCAGAGGATGTTCCCAGTGACTCGGAAGAAGCAGGAGAAGAAGAAGAAGAACTGACAGAAGGCGATGAGGCTGAGGAATGATTGTGATGATTGTGATGGGTTTGGCGGTAACGATGATTGGTGACACTGTGCTGGGCATAGGCGACAAGGCGCTAGACTACACCGCACCATTCTGCATGGATGAACTGGTGTTTTAATGGCACTTTGTCTGCAAGTGTCTGGTGTTGCGAGGATCAGAATATTTGCTCAGTACTGGAGGGATGCGAATGTGGGTTCATTCCGCTATAATATCTCACATCTAATAGTTACCTTCTCCCCTTCCTCAACAGAAGAATTGTGAACCTCGTGTCAACTCACAAGCAGGTGCCAGGCGATGAAAAATCCAAAGATTGCCATTATGGAAATGGATGCTTTACAATATAAAAAAAGAGAAAATTTCCGCACTCCAATTTCACACTGGCAATGATGTATTCTACTAATGCAGCGAATAGAGAATTCGCCCCATGATCGCACATCGCCCATAACAGGTTTCGTGGGCCCAGTGCAGAATCCATTGCACCAATCCATACCCGCATGGTGCTATCCGGAATCCCCCACACTATAATGATCCCAGTGCAGCTTGAAACGGTCAAATCTAGCAATTGCGTAAGGGAAAGCGCTATGTCGATTTTGTTACGCTTAGGGTCAATTTGATGTTAGGTTCCCCTCCCCACCCCCCGCCGTCAATCCTTATGTCGAAGCCAGGATGACTCAGCAACATTGCCTAAAAGTGGAGTACAATTTCTAAGTGGATTTGAGAAGAAAAACGCTCAGAGTCGTACAAATTTTGTTGGGCTGCCTTGATGACTGAACATTTTATAAGCGCCGGTGCCCCCCGACTGGGCAGCACAGCGGCCGGCTCACTCGCGGATGCCCGGCGGAGGTTGTGCGCTCAAACAGGCCTCCTCGGCCACACGTCTGACTTGGTCAAGTCCCAAGCGATTGTTACAAAGCAGCGTGTCTTTATATAGGCAATTGTCCGATCGTACAGCTATCAAAGGCCTCCCCATTGGAGGACAGCTCATCCAGCCGCACTCACAGTTTCACAGATCGGTATTGTCATACTGGCAAGGCTCGCCCAGAATAAACCCTCAGAACTCCCCCGGAACTCCCCAACCCCGTCCACTATCCTCAATCTGCACCCACTTCCCCGGACCTATGCCTCTAAGCCGGCCTACCTGGACCCGTCCGCCTGCCGGCGTTCCTGAGGTCCCTACCCAGTGACTCCCCCACTCTTCCGCACCCGCGCACTGCTACCCAGTCCTCACCTAACCTCCCAACCGATCTCCTAAAGTCCCACCCCCTGACTACCCTCATTTCCCAGGCTCTATCCGTCTCCCATCGGACCATGCTCCCAACAGTTTCAGGGAAGCTTAAGAGTAAATCGCAAGTGTTGCGCTGCTGATCAGCAGTGCTTTCAGACATCTTTCCACTTTATGTCGATTTTGCTGCAATTACACAATCTCTTAGCGTCACAGGTCGCGGGCGCCCCCCCCCTCCCCTCCGCGTCAAATTGTCGCTGAGCGTAACGAAATCGACATAGGGTCTTTCCTAAGTAGGTGAGGATCGGATGCAGCGGTGGTCGTGGACCGCGCACACTTGGAGCACATGCAGTTGGGCATTCCATGCTGTTGATTCGACCGCACACAGAGTTGTGGGATTATGTGTCGCTGGATGTGCTGAGCCAGTGAGGACCTTCGAGCCTCCTCACTCTGAAATGCGTCAATGGAGCATTGCTGAAAGTATATGCAGGGAGAAGCAGCTGCAGACTTGTCCAAACCATGTTGCCTCCAATTTCCTAAAGAGGATGCTGTCCGGGCCTGGAAAAACAGGGCCGGTCGCCATTTCCCACTACAACCCGGCGAGATTCAAGTTAATACGGACTGATATTCTTGTCATCGATAGAATAAGAGCGCGGGGGTTATCCAGCACCGGCCATCGAGCCCGGCAGAGCCTTGCATGGTTGCAAGCACTCGTCCAGGGTCTGCATGTTTGCAACACAAGAGACAATATGCCAAAACGTTCCAGACGCTGAATCCCGTTGCGCCCCACAAGTTGGCCGACCGCACAGGCCAGTGACATGCAAAAGCAAAAGCCTGTTTGTAGCAATCGAATTCGATTTCTGTTGTTTCGACCGAAGCTGCAAAATCGAAGCATTTGCTCAGCGTCCTTCACAACCACGGCAGGTTGCTCCCTGCATGGAATCCACGAGATATGCATAGTTCAGAGAGATTGGGTGTGTGCGCTCAATTTCAAATCCTTAACCTGAAACGTGTCCACATGACTCGAGCATTTTCTTTCACACATCTCTTTTGACTGCTTCAGTATATATGCCCCATCGAGCGTGCCTCAGCTCATGGTACTACACCACGCACACTCTAACCCACGGCCCCAAAG